GAATGAAGTCATATAAGCACCTCAAACAGAGAGCTAATTATTGTTCTCCATAATCAGTTCCTCTTCTGAATATAGCACTCCTCAGTGTCAGAAGGTAATTCCACAGAATAAGTTTAAATCTCTCTGTGGAAATTTCAGCCTTTGTTTGTTTCTTTCTTTTTTGATAAAGAGAGAAGAAAAATCATTCAAATCATTGGCAACCTTATGCCACAACTGGTGATCAGTCTTAGACCTTGTTATTGGATTACTTCAAGAAATGATCTCTTCTTGGGGATAATTAATTTCTCTTTCCTTAACATCCCTCCTGGTGCTCATCTTTGAAAAGTTAATGTGAGTCTTTTGCTTTCTGTTGTCTCCCAGAGTAATATTCATTTCAGGCTGGGAAACAGTTGTTGGGTAATGGGTCAAATGTATTAATAGGCAGGCCATATGGTTCCCAGACACCTTGCATTCAACAACTTGATAGAGTTCTGGTGGTATGATTTTTAAAAATTTTAACTATAAAAGTGTCAGAACCATCTGCTGTTATTTTTCGTATGTGATCCTGGTAAGTTATTAATTTTAGTTATACTGCTCCTATGTAATTAGCACTGTTCTCCACATGCAGGGTTCATGGCAAAGCTTGTAGACTTTGTTTTCAGTAGTAATGTGGGTGAAATATGTGTGTCTCATCCACATTTCCTTCATAAATTGAAGCAGGTTTGCCTATATGGGGTTAGGACTTGAGATTTATATGGCTTCTGTTTTAGCTGGTAAAATGCTGTAATTGTAGTGGGTAATTAGACTGATTGATAATTAGTCAGGTACTAATTACTATGAAGCAAACTACATAGGATAATGTAATAGAGAGTGATGCTTGGGTGGGGGTGGGGCTCCTAGAATCATGAAAGCCTTCAGGGAAGGAGAAATTTGAGTTGAGTTCTAAAGAGCAGTGATAAAGAGACAGGAAAAGGAAGATCTGCCATGAGATAATTCTAAGGGAAAGGAAGAGTTAAGAGCAAAGGCTCAGAACTGGGGAATAAGCATTGTACAGAGAATAGTCCATGGGGCCGCACTGCAGTGAGAGGGAGGATAATGCAGGCAGCTGAGGGCAAAGAAGGTCTAATCTGAGAATAATAGGAGCCTTTGGAAGCCTTTAGGCAAGGAATTGATATCTGATTTACAGTCTTAGGAAGCTCACTTTAGCTTCTAAATGGAAATTGAATTGTTAGGAGCAAGAATTAAGGACGGGAGACCAGTCAGGTGGTGACAGCTGTTGTGTAGAAGAGACTGATGGAGAAATGATGGACTAAGTTTGTGTGGTATAGATGGTGAGAAGTGATAGGATTTGGGATATACTTTGGATATGGAATCTATGGAACATATTGAATGGTTCTTAGGTTTTTAGTCTGAGTAACTCGCTGATTGGTGGTACAATTCTTACTCAGATCCGGAGGGCTTGATGGCTCTTTTTTGGTTGGTTAAGCTTGAGATGGCTTATGGACAACCAAATGAAAATGTCTAGAGGGCATGTGAATCTGGATGTTAGAAGAGAGATGAAGGCTGAAATATTCATTTAAATTACATGAAACTCACGAGTATAGACAGAAAGGAGGCAGAGGTCTGGGTCTTGAATACACCACCATTTAGAAGTTTGAAAGAAACACCAGCAAAGGACATTGATGGAGGTGGCCAGAGAGGTTGGAGAGAACCATGTGCTGCATAGACACCTGGAGAGGAATAGTGTCTCCAGAAAGAGTGACTGGTGACCTCATCATTAGGTGTCAAGTCTTAGTACCCAGAATCTGCATTAAATGTCTTTGAAAAGTATATTCTGTAGCTGTAAACTCAGTGATGACTAGAGCAAGTTGGGCCCAGTTCATGCCTGCAGAAACCTTTAGCCACGGTGGAATCAAAAATGGAGAATCTTGCCTCCTGGGGGGTTATGGAGGAAGGGTCTTTGTTCAAGTCTCAATCAGGATTTGTGAGATTTTCCTACCACTACTAAAGCAGCAAAGAGTAATTAGTGGTTTTTTAAAATGACAATTATATAAACAGCTGGTACAGCTATGCCACAAGTTAGTTCTCTGAAAATATTCAGTAATTAAATTCTGATCAATCTCTTTCAAGACTTTAAGGTTGACCTAAATAAAAGCCTATAACTAACTTAGTGCAAGACAGGACACATAAAAATATTTACATTTTTAACTACATAACGTGTTAATCCTAACAAGATATCTCATAGCAAATCATTTTCTAAATTTTATCTTTTCTTAGTATCAATCATAATGACTTGAAGGCAACTTCTGTTTGGGAGTTAACTTTAGATTATGAAGAATCACTGTATTATTTGTTTTGTCATTTGATAAACTGTATTATTTAAATGAGGAATGGAGATTTCTTGCTCTCTGCTTCTCTTAAAGTGAAAGCATAGTGCATTCTAATAAACATTTTAAACAGAAGGGCAAAACTGAGGAGTCCTTTTTTTTGGTACCATATGCCATAATTTAATAGGTCATTTTGTCTGCTGTATTAAGTATATTTTCTCTAAAATCCAAAGCAGGATCAAGCTGTAAACAAGATGCTTTATTTTAGTGATTCTCATTGTTTGGATAAATGGCGAATTTGTTTTAAATTAAGCAAAGCTACATTTTTATTCCAGAAAGTTCAACGGATGACAAATACTTATGCAAACTCTGCAAATATTTATTCATACCTTTACCTTTGAGCATCACACACATTTGAGCATCAGATCAAATCCCAAGATCCCACACCTGGGGAATCTCTTGATTTACTGTACAGAGGGCTCCCTTAGTCTTGGAAGCCTCAACCCTGTTAAAGCATCACTTATGCATGAGAAAGAAAACACAAGAATTCTTTTGGGCACAAAGCAATAATATCTTTCTAATATCTTTTACCTTACTGACATTTCGTTGAATTTTACAAATAGATAAAGCTTAATAAGAATGTAGTAAGCTGATGGTTGGCAATAGACTATGGTGAGGAACAGTCTATTGGTTATTCAACTGCATCTTTGATTCACTGACTGAAGGAAACTTACTACGAACAAAGCATCAGAAAACAATTTCTATCTAGAATTTTAGCAGGATGACTGGTTCTGCAGCTTTACATCAAAACAAAGATTTATAGTACCTGAAAATTCTCCATTTCTCTAAGATCAAAGTGGAAGTAACTTATTTACCTGGTTGGTGCTATCCAGTTTTCAAAGACTAAAGCTTAAGGCATAGGATTTTACCTCCAGTCCAGCTCTACTCAAGTAATAAATGGGTAGAACATTAAACCATTCTGACAGCTATGTACTTGCTTTGTGTGAAGGTCATTGGATGTAACAAGCCTTGCTCTTGGATCCCACATGAGCAATTATCTTTTCGAGGAGTCCCACTGTCCTTGGGTGCTTCCTAGTATCCAGAGCCACACATAGGAGGTGCAGAGGGGGAGAAAAGGAGGCTCTCTGCTCTCTTCTCTCCTCCCTTTTCATCTCCTGCCCTCCCCTCTGCCATGTGGGGGACATGAAAATGACGGGCCTCCTGGGTGAGTCGGGTTGTGGAAGAGGGTGAGCATGGTTGCCCCCTGCCTGGGTGGTGGTGGTAGAGAAGAGGTGCCCTTGGGACGGGTTCTCCCAGGGAAGGGGCTGTGTCTGTCACACCCACCACCTCCCAAGTGCTCAGTACTGTGCCTGGCACCTAAATGCCCAGTAACTCCTTATTGAGTGTAGAGCAATAGGGTGTCAGGGCTCATATAGTGCACAGTACAGTTTCTTCCCTTCCCCTCTACTAGTTACTTCATTGAAACACACATTTGAGCATCAAATAAATCCCAAGACCCCACACCTGGGAAAATCTCTTGATTTACTGTACAGAGGGCTCCCTCTGTCTGGGAAGCCTCAACCCAGTTAAAGCATCACTTATGTATGAGAAAGAAAACACAAGAATTTGATCACAAAGCAATGATATCTTCCTAACAAGAGCAGCTACTTATATCTGTTTGTACCATCTTCCCACTGACTGATATTTAAGCACATCACCTTGGCTAACTGTGCCCTGCATGAACTGGCTCCTGTTTTTTTTGCCCTCCAGTTCCTTGAACACACCAGGCCCTTTGCTGTCTGCTGGGCTCCTGCCTGGGATGTGCTTTTATAGCTCTTCAGGAGCCTTCATCTTCCTGATCCTGTAAAGATCTGCTTTAGTGGTCCTTCTTCAGCAGGCTTTCCAAATTGCCCTCTCTAGCATTCCCTCTCTCCCACTATTTTATACCTAGGCATTTTGCATTTTCCTATGTGTTTGCTTTCTTGCTTATTAGCTATCTGCCTAACTTAATTGAATGATTCACAAGAGCAGGACCATTTTGTGATTTTTCTTTTTCAGCATCTAACCCAGTGCCAGGGTCTGTGTAAGTGCTTAATAAATATTCATTTGAATGAATGAATGAGACTCAGCCTACCCTTCATTTAAAACATAGTTAAATTTTGGCTGGGTGCGGTGGCTCACGCCTATAATCCCAGCACTTTGGGAGGCCGAGGTGGATGGATCACCTGAGGTCAGGAGTTTGAGACCAGCCTGACGAACATGGAGAAACCCCGTCTCTACTAAAAATACAAAAAAATTAGCCAGGCCTGGTGGTGCATACCTATAATCCCAGCTTCTTGGGAGGCTGAGGCAGGAGAATCACTTGAACCCAGGAGGCGTAGGTTGTGGTGAGCCAAGATCACACCATTGCACTCCAGCCTGGGCAACAAGAGCAAAACTCCGTCTAAAAAAAAATAAAAGTAGTTAAATTTTAACTTTTTAAAAATCTCAGATTCTAAACATACAGTGTACATACACACAATGTATGTGTCGTTTAAACTATAAAAATTCCCTACCCTTGCTAATGAACTGCCTTAAAGAATAGGGTTGGTGATTTAGTGCCTATGGCCTAACTACTAATATTTGCTCTTTTTTATTCCTACACTTCTAATGTGTTTTTTCCACCCTTTTCTTTCCTTTATCTTTCTTTTTTAGCAAGGGAAGCCATATGTCTTTGACAGAGTGCTACCTCCCAACACGACCCAAGAGCAGGTTTACAATGCATGTGCGAAGCAAATTGTCAAAGGTAAGTGCTATTTCTTTATTTCCTCCTGGGCCATTCAGAGTAATTGAAAACATTAAGCCATATTTGAAGCCTGAGAATAAATGTGCCTTGACTGTAAGCAGAGGCCTGCTAATTGGAAACACTGAATTCTATAGCCTTGGTTCTAGCCCTGATTTGTTATGATGTCAGGCAAATTATTTAATCTCTCTATTCCCCCTTTTCAAGGATTTTTAAAAAATTTCTTTTGCCACCTTTTAAATTTTGTCACCCAAAAGCTTAAAAGCAAGGTAAGCTGTGTTCACACTATTTCTGTAATAATTTTAAAATACTGCTGCAGGTATGGAACTCCTTTTTCCTTTGAAGGTGAAATATATATTCCTGATGCTGCAGTTGTACATCTTTGGTTGATTTATTCTGTACATCTGTCTCCCTTTTACTAATATCTCTCAGCAAGAAGCCTTAAATATGGAAAAATTTTTGCCGTTTAGAAATTTTCTAGTGTCATAAAATCACATTACCATGTTGGTTATTGAGCTGGTCTTGCTATTCAGCATTCCTTAATCACGCTTTCTCCTAACCCACTTTTTTTTTTTTTACTTTGTTTTATTTCTCCTAACCCACTTTCAACCAACCCACCCAGATCCTGACATTCGTTCCTCCAAACAGGTAGCCTCAAGCCTACATTTACGTCTTAGAGATCAGTCATTTTCTCTAGGACTGGCGTTGGCCCTGGAGGATTTGTGTCAAAATAGCAGCAGGGAGATGAAGCAATTTACACATTGCTCTACCTTGCCCTTTCAAATCAGGGGCAGGTTGGAGCTTGCATTGGCAGGCTTGCCATCTGGACAGAGCTGGGGGGCATCTCCTGCTACTTTGCTTTTCATCATCAAATTCTCGCCTTCAAATGTAAATGCTACAATTGTGCTTTCAAATGTCTTGATGCTGCCCCCTGTATAGGCAGCTCTGGATTTAAAAAGCAAGAGGTAAAAACAAAACCAAAAAAAACCCACCATGACTCTTTGGATCTGCTTGTTTTTAGAAGCTGACTAACCTAAGTATTTGAAATTCATGAAAATCAGCTCTGGGTACATCTGTTCGATTAATTCTGACCCTGGACACCTGTGTGGGAGATGCATGTCAGCATGTAATGTTCCTTGCTGAGGTAGATAGTTATTCACGTTCTTGCTGCAGACATCAATTAATTTTGAAGGTCTTCACAGTGAGATTATTATAGAAACCAAATGAGAAAAAAATATGCCTGAATTTGAGCTCTTTCTGAATAGCATGAACCTTTATGGGGTGGTAATTTTTATCTTCTCTACTTTTACTCTTCTGATTCTCTTTCTATATAAACATGTTTCCTCTGTTTTTGCAGCATATCTTTCTTGGTTTTCTCCTACTCAGCCCTGCTTTCTCTCTATTATGGGACTCATTCATATTTTTTTTTATTAAAGTTAGATTAATTGCACATGTACCAGAATTTCTTTCTTTTTCTCTCCCCTTTCATTATCACAAATAGTATTTGCCACACGCTGTGCTAAACATGAGGGGCATATACATACATCCTGTCCTCTTTAAGCTGACATAATTGGAAATGGATGTACTCTGTTAAAAAAAAAATCCTGTGATTAACAAACTATAATAATACTCTTTGAGTCTTTATTCACTAAAGAAGTTTGGGTCTCTTTCAATGTTTGGATTTCTCTACAGTATGAAATATCAGAAATGGGCAGGTCTTGTGAAGATACAGCCTAACTCTGGATAACTTGAGACCAAATATATGGTGAGCTACAAAGAAAACCATCTAGTAGAATAAAATTAGACCCTAACATGATATGATAAGCAGACATTTCTAGACTACCATAAATATGTATGATCATATTTATTTAGTAGCAATAATGAGTGCCTTATTCTCCCTTAGAAAGGAATTATTAGGGAATGATGAACGTCTGATTGACCTTAAAAAATATCCTCTGAGGCTAGTGTGAGAATTGGCCATGTATTTCAGAATCAGTAAGCTAAAACACAGAGATGTAAGAAAGAACTCCTTGGAATAGATGACCAAGTACAGCTGAGGTGTCTCTTGCCACGAGAAACCCTATTTTAATCAAGATTGGGAACTGGTGCTGTGGAGCCCTTTTTTTCTAGAGGCCAATAACTAAATCTGACTTCTGAAGGTGCCATAGTCCCGGTGATTCCTGATAATGGGTTGACTAAGGAGCTTTCCTTTCAAGGTTATCTAAACTCTTAATGATTTGAAGCATCTGGGAGGCTCCATTTAACCCGATGGCTTTATTCTCTCTCTGGTTTTTCATTCCTTACTACTTCACTGGGTTAAAAAAATATTTTAAATGTTTGTTTATAGAGTCCTGGCATTGCTCATGCTCCCATCTTTATCTGGTGTGTGTTTTTCAAAATGTTGCTTGAAAAAGCATGTAGAATTCTCCTTCATTTCTTCTAGAAGAGGTTGCAGGGTTTGTGACTACCAGCACAATAAATGAGAAGCCTAGGAATGAAAAACCATGGTAACTGGATGCTATTATCGAAGTACTGTAACTATGTTCCAGCCTACAGAAGCCACGCCAATCATTTGCCTTCCAAATTAACTAGATATGGATGAGCCAGATGCTAGAGAAAGGTGTTTCTTGTTTTCTAGTTCTGATTACTTTAAACTTCATTCACTTGCTTCTTTTAATCAGTCATTTACATAAGTAGTATTAAGTACTTACCATGGGGTAAGCACTGCTGGGACTGGAGTCGCCATGCTATGTAAGACTGTCTGCAAGGAGCTTTGAGTACAGGGAAAGAGACAAATGTGTCCAAAATCATCAAACACATAGGCATTATGTGCTTAAGAAAGGGTATATGCAAAATACCACAGAAACACAGCAGAATTCACTTGTATTGATTTTGGTTGGGAGAGGGAATGGAGAATTAAAGGTTTCTCTGAAAGGTTGGGTCCTGAGGACTATAGAATATAGCAGGCTTGTACAAGCAGATGGGATCACAAAAGCATAAAGATAAAATTCTGCTTGGGCAACTTGGAGCGGCACAGGGTGCAGAATGGCATTATGGGAGATGAGGCTGGGAAAGTTAGGCTGGAGCAATTTGATGGAAATGGATGGTCTTTATCCTGCAGACAATGTGGACCCAATGAAGAGTTTTAAGCTTAGGATGATATCAGAACTGTTCTGTTATTATACATGACTCTGAAGAAGAAAAATATTTTTAGCTGTGATTTATCAGGAACTCTCTATGTACTTAACATATGTTGTTGCATTTTAAATCGTAACAACTTTCTGAAGGGTGAGCATTATTTTCCTCATTGTACAGAAGAGGAATTTGAGGCTTAGAGAAGTGAAGTAACTTGGCCAGTTGGTTTGGGGGCCATGGACTGGGACTCAAGCCTGGGTTTGTTGGACTGACTGATATTCTTCTGCACTCTCCTGTCCCCCTTTCCTGGTGGGCACACAGCAAGCATTTGATGACAATTATGTTATGAGTGGTTCCTATTCTGTCAGGCCATATGGACTATTAACTAAGCATTGCAAAAGACAGGGCTAGGAATGGTGTGGGAGGAGGGTAGAGAATAGGGGACAGGGATGGTGGCTTCTGCACCTTGTGGTGGCCCTGGTGACCTGCCAATGATGAGGTGCGTTTCCATTCTGAAGATGCAGCATGTTCTTGCCTGGACACAGTGACTGCCTTTCAGGCTGGCTGGCCGGCATGGGGGCTGGCCTTGAGTGGTCAGCAGAATCGCCTCTATATCCTCTGATCATGGTCTACTTGAGTGGTTTGGTGACTGCTGAGGATGGCCTGTCAGCCACCATCCCCAGAAACCCTAGTGTCCCGGACAGTCCCCCCCATGCCTCCTTAGGACTACTGATGCGTAGGTGTGATCACATCCTCCCCAAATTCTAATCTGATAATGGCATTAACTCTTTTGCTTTAGCAAGACCTGGATTCAGAACTGAGCAAATGGGAGGAGCATTTTAAGTATCTACTGCCATCTTTCCTTCTCCCCTGGGAGGGGAGAAGGCTCTGGGTACCTGCGGTGGAAACTGCTTCTGGGGTTCATGTGGCTGCGGGATGCACGAGCGCTGTGGCCCGGGGTGCTGCGGGCTATGCGGTGCCAGTGGAAGTCACATCACACCAGGCACCAACACAAAGAAACGTTCTGTCTGCGGAGCGTGGCTGGCATGTGGAAACAGTCATTGTTCCTGCAGAGACTCTAAAACAAATGCATTCCGTAAGCCCAGGAGCGGGCACTGGACGGGATGAAAGTGGCTTTTGTGGGCGCTTCTGCAGGAGTCGGGTTGGGGGCGGCGTGGGCCCCGCAGTGCTGAGCGCGGGCCTGGCCTTTCCCGCGCCGGCTCCCCCGCTGCCTGTGGCCTCGATGGCCACCGAAACGCGCCGGGCTCCTGCTCCCCATCCCCCGCCGCCTCCCTTCACCACCAAATGAAAACATAGACTGAGCAAACAAACAACAAATAGAAAACAAGCCCCCAAAACCCAGAGTTTCGAAGAAACCAGCGAGCGCTGGCTTCAGAGGCTTTTCGTCTAAATGACCTTCTAGTGCAGCGCGGAGCCCATAGAGGGCGCCGTCGGCCCCCTCAGCCCGAGAGGCTCTCCAGCAGCCAGAGCTGTCCCGTGACTGGAGATACTTCAGGGCCGAGAGGACTTCGTTCTGGTGGGGTTTTATATGTTCTCCTTTTCTTACAAAAAAAGAAGGAGGAAAAAATGTGCTTGGTGACGAAATGGCAGCAAGAAACAGACTCTCCAAGTATAGTCTCGCACGCTCCTCACTCAGCCCCGTAGTCCAAAACGATGAGCTCTCGTCTTCAGGTGCTTGGCCCAGTCCCTACTGGCAGGAGTTACGTGAGCAGTGATGGACTAAGAGTGAGTGGGATTGTGCCTTCTGTTTAGTGATGGACTCAGAGGGGTGGATGAGATCTGGAAGTCTTCAGGTGTGGCCTAATGTAGGAGGAAGAAGCTGAGCTCTGAGCTGAGTTTCCTTGGCTGTAGCGGGTTGCTCAGAGCTACCTCCCTGGAGCCTCCGGCGTGGGAACATTAGCACTTGCAGGGCGGCCGGCAGCGGCAGGATGGCTGGACCCCTGGCCCTGGCAACCTCAATGCTGTTCTAACACCTGGGCCAGTGGGTTCCAGAGTGTATCATACACAGAGGCTTAAGACAAGGTGTTTTTTCTTTCTTTTTTTGTAGGGGGGATGCTTAATTTCTAATAAATGGTAATTTCGAATAAAAGCAAACTTTAATATTGTGATGTAGCCAGGATTCCAATAGGCTGGAGTTGCTTGTGTTATGAATATGGCATTTTTAAAGTTTGACCTAAGGGTAGGACCTTGTTCCTTTGGGTGCCTCCAAGCATATCATATTCATGTTAGTGTAAATGTGCTCTGTCTGCTCTGGCCTGAGGAATCTTTTCTTTGAGTAAGTTGGCAATTTTGTGAAAAATGAAGCTTGAACCTTCAAAGCTTACACTGACTGCTTCAAGTTGTTGCTTCCCACTGTTAGCAGGGGAACCATTAGCCAAAGTCTGATACTTGTGAACGTTCTCTCTCTCTCCCTCCTCTCTCTCTCTCTGCCTCTCCTCTCCCCCAACCCCCAATATATCTTGATACAAACTCTTAAGGGCTGCTAGAATTTAAAAAAAATCCTGCCACTTAATTTTTCTTTTCTTAGCTTCCTCAAAGAAAATATTGCTTTCTGTTCTTATCCCAGTTCAACAACCTCAGATCAGTCAAATGTATATTTAAATTTTTTTTAAAAAAAAATGTAACAAATCAGGCTGGGCACAGTGGCTCACACCTGTAATCCCAGCCCTTTGGGAGGCCGAGGCAGGCTAATCACTATGTCAGGAGTTTGAGACCAGCCTGATCAACATGGTGAAACCCCATCTCAACTAAAAATACAAAAATTAGCCAGACAAGGTGGTACATGCCTGTAATCCCAGCTATTTAGGAGGCTGAGCAGGAGAATCGCTAGAAGCCGGAAGGCGGAGGTTGCAGTGATCCTGCCACTGAACTCCGACAGAGTGAGACTTGTCTCAAAAAAAAGAAAAAAAAAAAAAGAAAAAGGAACAAATCAGAATTGCTATTAGACTAAGAAAAAAATTCAAAAAAACAAACCCAACAAAGCAAAACAAAAACAAACCAGCATCATAACATTCAGAGCGCTCCCCCGAACAATGTCCCCAAAAGAAAAAATCTATTTAGAGCCTGAAGTAGATGGAGCTGGTTTCCTGGCTTGGCTTTTCACATGACCCTGAATAGGACACCTCAGTGTGGGGCCCTTCTCCCTGCCTCCACACCTTGTGCAAATAAAGACTTCCTCCCCTTATACGGAATGGAGGATCAAGGATATTAATGATGCATTGTTCCTTTTTCAGTGATATTTGTGAGGATGAAGGAGGAAAGCAGGAGGGAAATGAGTGCTAAATATATTTTAATCACCTCTGCTGCTTTGAAAGAATTCCCACAGATAATCTTCAGCTCTTCAGCAAAAAGCAGCCTCCACCCTCAAGCCTCCCCTTGTCCCTGTGTGATGTGGCACCGACCTGCAGTGTGGAGGGGTTTGCACAGTGCTCTCATTGTGTAATTAAAAGAAATTCCTGATGCTGATGGGCCTGGGCTGGCTTGTTAGCACTGTCAGTGCAAACACAGAGATACTAAATGTAAGTGAGGGCCCAGCTAGTTTCTGGGCTGATTGGACTCTCACTGTGAGCCTCCGTTTATAGAGGGCCCTTTTCCCTACTCACCTCTGGACTGAAGGAGCTCTGGTGGGGCTTTCAGGAGAAACCTCCCCAAGGAGCTAGTCTGCGCCAGCATTTAAACTGACCCACATTAAATCTTCAGGAAAGAAATTCTATTCTTCATCTCACTCAGAAACTTAGGGCATAAGAATAATGTTGTTGTTGTTTTTTTTCCCCAACTGATCTCAAGAGATCAACTTACAGAAGAAAACTCAAATATCCTTCTACTTAAAAAGTTTTCTGCTGTATGTCTCTGTCTTCATTTTGATGTCATTGAGAGAAAGTGTGTCTGCCTCCTTCTTCATTAATATATTCTGTGAAATGTGAGTCTTATTTCTTTCTATTTGTAGAACAACGGAGGCCTGCATTTCTGCTCTTATCTCGTAATTCTACTTAAAATGCACATGGAGTTGAAATATATCATTTGTATGAAAAATGAGATAGGCCATTTAGAAAATGTAATTTTAAAATATGCAACCTACACCAGCATATGATCAAAGTAATGAGTTAATTTTAATTTCTTTTTCTTGTTCACAGATGTCCTTGAAGGTTATAATGGGACGATTTTTGCGTATGGGCAGACTTCATCAGGAAAAACACACACCATGGAGGTAAGATTACAGTGTGCTCTAATGGAGATGACTGAATGGAACTGACGCTTCCAGCAAAACTTGAGGTGCACGTGACTTCCTTTACTGGGAAATAGAGATGGGTTATGTTTGACCAATTAATTGTATCTTGGAGAAGTTTTAAAATAGCAGTAAGAAATAAAGTCTTAGGAATTCAGTATTTTATAAAGGCCTTTGTTGATAACTTTGTCACAGTAATAATACGTTCTATTCAGAAACAATCATTGATAAGCTAAGCGGTAGAGTGCTCATCCTTCTGGACCTCAGCCTCAATCTAACTGGGAAAGCCTGTTGGGAAAATCATTTACCCTGGTGAAGGCCCCCAGGAGGTAGATCTCTTAGAATAAATAAAAAACTGTAGGTCAGAGATTTTTAAAAGTTGGCTTGTGGACCACATTCAGCCCACAGACATATTTTTGTTTGACCTGCACGGTATTTTTTTAAAAAATAGTAGGTGATGTTAAAAATGGGGTGATTTCACACAATTCGAATTTTCCATTTTAGGTTGAATATTCTGAAGATCTGGCAGCACTGGGTGAATTTCACCATAATATAAAATTCAAGCTTCACTGCTCACTTCATTGTCCTGTTCACCTGTTTGTTAACATTTCTAGTGCAGAGAACAGCTGCTGTCACCTAGGAGAGGCTCAGTTAAAATACTCATTAGATATTTGTTAGTATTTGTGATCAGGTACCTGTGGTGCTGGCCCTGGCTACCCCATGTATATGGGGCTGGGCTCTCCATCGCACTCACACCCAGCCCACTTCATGCACACTGGGGTGAAGAGGAACTTATATTCAGCATCCTTCCTCATTAACTTACATACTTGCTCCCTGAAGGCACTTTACGGTATGTCCCCAGCTCCAATTGTTGGCTGTGGAGCTCTGTGACTTCAGTCTGTCTTCCAAACAAGGCAGATCTGTAGACAAAATTGAACTCCTTTGCCTCCTTTTTCCACATATATATATGTGTGTGGAATATGTGTATATATGTGTATATTCCACACAAGGTATATATATACACATATATGTATACATATATATATAAATATTTCACATATGTATATGTGTATGTGTGTGTGTGTGGAATATGTGTGTGTGTGTATATATATATATATATATATATATATATATCTCACTGAATCCTATAGGGCCTTCAAAGTCTGATAATTCTTCTAAAGGTGAGGCCCACTGGACAGGTGAGGAGAGGTGGTGAGTGTGGTTATATAAGAAACTGCACAGAAGAAGTTTGGGGAATTCAGCAGCAGGGTAAGATGAATCCTTAATCCTTCCAGCTTAGGTTTTTCATTTACGATGCCCTCCTGGGAATAGCATTGAGACAGCTGCTGCAGAATCAGTTTAGCTTATGAATCATTCCTATTGAAGAGGAGATTTCAAAGGCACGAGGCTAAAATCCTCCGGGCTCTGATGTTCTGCTCATCCTGATTTCAAGTGTGGGGTACAGTGCCGGGGGATCTCATTTCTGCGGTGCTGACTCTTTCACACATTTTGCTGAAGACAAAGTGGTTCAGAGATTGCACAGATTAAAGGACACATGAGGTTTATTTGTCACTTCTTTCTGACTGAGCAGGTCTTTCCCCTGACACCTGAGTGGCGTCAGCCCATCTCCTCCTCTCACACCCTATGGCAGAACGTCTTGGAAACGCCAGCCTTGCCATCCCCATGCTCCAGCTCCAGCCCCAGCCCCAGCCCCTTGCCTTTCCCTCTCTTACTGGGTCCCACACTCTTGACCTTGAGGTTATAGAAAAGTTCCAGTTCTACATTTCCTGGGTCCCACTTACTCCAGCAGCTGTGGACAAAAACTCCCTCATAGGTTAGACAGCACTTGAAAGAGAGATATGGTGTCTAGTGAGGAATTCAGCCAGTCTGGAGGGTTTTGTTTTGTTTTAATTACCAAACTATATACAATACCAAACCAAAAAAAAAAAAAAAAAAGGCAACCCTCATTATTTAAAATCCCCCACACCTTAAAAGGTCACTTGACCTTTTAAGCTTTAGGATTAGGAAATATAAGGTATTTGCTAAATGCCAGAAATTTAAACTGTAAGACATTGAGAGAGAGAATGCTCCCCAGTGTAAAATCTCATGTCGGGAGAAGATATGGATGTAGGGTGATGGCAAAAAGCTATGTCAGCTTGCAGGCACAGTGGCTCATGCCTGTAATTCCAGCACTTTGGGAGGCCAAGGTGGGCAGATCACTTGCAGTCAGGAGTTCAAGACTAGCCTGGCCAACATGACGAAACCACATCTCTACTAAAAATACAAAAAAATTAGCCAGGTGCAGTGGCCCATGCTTGTAGTCCCAGATACTCAGGAGGCTGAGGCAGGAGAATCTTTTGAACCGGGGAGACGAAGGTTGCAGTGAGCCAAGATTACACCACTGCACACCAGCCTGGGCAACAGAGCAAGACTCTGTCTCAAAAAAAAAAAAAAATCTAATATTGGAGATATTTTGCTAAACTAGAGGCTCTCAAGCCCTCTGTGTCTTACAGTGTAAACTCTACAATGCTTGCCCAGCGAGGACTCATGGGGGACCTGAAAGGAACTGGGTTCTGGACAGGTTTCACCTCTGGTTGTCTAAATTCTGTCACCTCTTCATCTTTGTCTGTTTTAAAAGGTCGATTGTAATGAGCTGCTTTTCTTTATTGTGACTTTTTCAGATCACATACTTGTGTTGGAAAGAGTTGATGTGGATGGGAGTTTTTTCCTAGTGCCACCCACCCCCTCACTTAATCGAGTTCTTTCTGTAGGGTAATTATAGATTGGAGAAAAGGTAGGGGATATTTTCAGAGGAAGACAGAGGGAGGGAGGAGCCCCAAGCCGAAGTCATAGATACTGCAGGAGACCAAGAAATCCAGGACTCTGGAATGCAATTAAATCAAAAAAGCCCTACAGGGTCTGCATTCTCTGAAAGGAGGAATTTATGTATTCAAATTATACATTGTGATCTTCCAAAGGCTTTTAGAAGGGGATATTAACTCCCTGAGTGCCCCTGAGTGGACAGAGCGGTCACATTTTAAAGCTGTTTTTCACTTTAATCCCCCTATTTTTGGTCTGACATCCAGTGGTGAATCCATTACCTTGTATTGAGGGGAACAAACATGTAGATAAGCCTACATAAAACTGGAAAGACTAGCTTCTCAAGATGGAGCATTTAAGGTAAATTTTCAGTAAATACATGACTCGCTGGACAGTGTTAATGCCAAGCCTGGTGGGCACCAACACGCAGAATGCCCTGGGCTTGCGCAGCCCACATCCAGGGTTGGCGCTGGAGAGGGCACGTGGGTTCCAGCTCCAGCTGTGGAAGAGGGGACTGTTCTTTTGTTCAGTGTGTGATGCTGGGAAGGGCCTCTCTTGGCCCCGTGCCCTAATTTGTGATCCTCTTCTGCACACTGATATATGGATGGAGATACCTTGTGCTTTTCTTTCTGCCCAAAGTGATGCCTGGAGGTCATCTGAATGGTGCAGGCTTCCCAGCCGCCCCACTGAGCCTGTCTGAGCACACGGTGCTCATGTACTGACGGGCTGACAGCTTTCCCGTCTTAAGTGTTTCAGGAAACTCTGCCCTCCTTGGGAGGTCGAGGAGGCATCTGGGGCTGGAACAAAGAGAGTCTTGTTCAATGGCTGGTGGCCTGGGTCTTGTTTCTTCTTTCATACGTGCTCCTAAAAGATCACATTCCATGGATCTTTTGTGGATAGAATTTGTGGATAGAATTATACAGGATGCAGTTATAAAAATCTTTCTCCTATTTGCTTTCCAGGAGAAACAAGGTGATGAAGCAACACATTTCTTTGCTCCTCAAGTTCATCTTTTTTTTTCTTTACTTTTTTTTTCTTTTACTGCCCACCTGCAACTGTCTTGATCGAGTTATATCAAGTTCATCTTTGATCCTTCAGCTAAAATATACGTTCACTGTTCTTTCTCAGTTCCTGTGCTTTGTTCTCCCACTCGCCTTCTCTGCCCACATCCTCTCTGCCCATCCCTAAATTTACTCATTCTTCAAGATTTGGTGTCCTGAAAGGAAGCCATCCCGTATTACCCATGTTGTTACTGGAACTCTGGGGAATTTCTGGTCTCTGAATTTCTATAGCTGTCAGCTGTTTTCCCACTTCTTAACTGCCCAGGGCAACTGTGCATTGTGTGTCTGGGCTGTGCATCTCATCTGCAAGGGTCAGTGTAGAAGCAGCAAAGACCTCTAAGGAAGACCTCTCTCTCATACACAAATGCACACACAGACATACCACACACCACACACTGCCCCCCACATGCATCATACACATACACACAGATGTATACACACCACCACATATATACACAGACACATCACATACCACATACCATACACTCCCACATACATTGTACATGCACATAGACATATGCACACCACACACATATACACACAAAGACACACAGACACACCACACACCACACACATATACACACACAGAGATACCACGCACCACATACTACCCCCACATACATCGTAGACATACACTGCAACATGCATACCACATACATGTACACACACAGACACATCACATACAGAAGCACCACATACAACACTCCCCACATACATCACACACACACACACACACACACACACACCGTAYACCACATAACCCCACATACATTATACACACACATACATATGCACACCATACACATATACACACACAGAGACACCACACACAATATACACACAGACACATAACACACCGTATACCACACCCCCAAATACATCATACACACACACAAACATATACACATCACACATATGCACACAGACATACCATACACAGACATACCACATACCACGCACCCTCCTACATACATCATACACATACAGACATATACACACCACATACAGTTCACACCATACACTATAAACCGCATATGGCTGTCACATACATCATAAACACACAGATATACACGTCACACACCACACAGCACATGCCACGCACACCTCCCATACATTATACACACACACAGACATATACATATCATACACATATACACACACAGACACACCACACACTGCATACCACCCCTCCACATACATCATACACATATACACATATATGTGCACACCACAAACACACCACATATTACACAGTATATACCACACAAGACCCCTAATACATCATAAACATACAGAGATGTAAACATCACACACATATATATGGACACCACACACCACACACTATATAGCTCACTCCCACATACATTATACACACCGAGACATACACACACACAGACACACCATACACAATATATGCATCATTTAGCAAACCCCCTACATACACACACACAGACAGACCACACACCATGCACACAGACACCCCCACATATACATGCACACATACAGACACACCCCACATAAATCACACACACAACACACACACCTACTCCCATACACACATACACACACAACCCATATTCATCACACAGACACAGACACCACATATCACACATACACAATACACACGCACCACAAAATACCACACACACCACAAGCACCCACCCACTTGCCACACTTCATACATTCATGCTATAGCACATAACTGCACACATACCCCACATCCATCTTACAAACATATATGCCTCACATCACACACACATGTTAATACTCCACATCCATCACATGCCCCCACACAAGCAGACATACCCCTCACACCCCACACATATATCACACACAGACATACACACACACATCACACATCTATATACTCCTCTGATACCACACACACACATGCGCACACACACGCACACACATGCACACACACGCACGCACATACACGCACACACACATGCACACACACACACACACACACACACGTTCCACATGCTCCTATATCCTCCTCTGTATACACATGCCTGCAGATTGTTTCAGCAGGCCCAGTTCACTGCGTATAAAGCCCTTAACACCCTTGGGCGTCTGAGTTAGGTCAAGCAGCACAGCTCCTAGGCCTGCAGTAGATTTGAGTATCGCTTCTGTTCCTGTGGGGATGGGAGGCATTATTATGAGAACAGTCACCTTTCTTACACTGATTTTAGGGTGAGGACTTCAGAAAGACACAAAGTAGAGAGTGTCCTAGATTCATCTCTGGTTCTGCCTTGGTTCTTGCTCTGACAAAGACAAACGAAGGGACGTCAGCACTTGTATAAGCCAGGAATCAATGGGGAGATAAATCCATTGAAAGGGAAAGCATCTAGGAAAATAGATTTGAGTCAATTATCAATGATTTTTGGATTATCAATCCTTTTCTGGCTGTGGGCTACTGAGGAGAAGCTACAGGATTATCATGAATTATTAAAAAGCTCTGGAGGGCTGGGGTAGAGGACGTCTTTTGATTGGCTGCGTGGAGTCATGACATTTGACCAGATGGAAGTGATTGTTTCTGCCAATGATCTCCACAGTTCAGAGCATGTGGGGCCCATTGTCTAATTTGTTACACATTTATGATGGAATATACAGTTTAAAAGTTATCAAGATTTGAAATTGTCAGTCATTTGGCGCTGTTTTCTTTCCTAAGATATATAATTGTCAGGGATAGAAATGTGTTTCAGACTCTTCAGGTGAAATAAACTCCAACAACTTCTTCGTGAGAACCTGCTATGAGCTGAGTGATATAATACTAGCATTTATTTGAGCCCTTCCTGTGTCACTAAGCACTTCATATATCCTATTTAATTTAAATTCTACAATAATTCTATGTAATAAATGCTAAATCTTGTAAGCAATGGAGAGAAATATACATGCACTGGCCATCTCTATCTGTAGGAAGTATGCAGTCAAACTAAAAAGCAGTATCAATACATCAAACTATTTAGACTCTTAATAGATAAGGGCATTCTAGAGGAGTACCCATTTTCCCAGATGAGGGAGCTTTGCTGGAAGCCAGACTGCTAGATGTGGTGGCTCATGCCTGTAATCCCAGCACTTTGGGAGGCCAAGGGGGCAGATCACTTTGAGTTCAGGAGTTGGAGATCTGCACTGGCAACATGGCAAAACCTCATCTCTACAAAAAATACAAAAAATTAGCCAGGTGTGGTGGTGCACACCTGTAGTTCCAGCTACTAGGGAGGTGAGATTGGAGGATCACTTGAGCCTGGGAAGTGGAGGTTGCAGTCAGCCAAGACTGCACCACTGCAATCCAGCCTGGGCAACAGAGTGAGACCTTGTCTCAAAAAAAAAAAAAAAAAAAAAAACCTTGAAAATTCTCTGGGTGTACTGTTGGCACTGATCACTTTAAACCTTCAAACTGTGTGCTTGCTCACTGATGGGTTGTTTAACACGTGAGAACTTAAGTGCTTATTTGACGGTGGGCTTATGCAGAGACTCTCTGGAGCTTGTGTGTTGCTTTAAATGCTTCTGGAAGTCTTCATTAGGAGTTGCTGTCAGATCCTTATGGCATCTTTTCTAAAGTCTTCAGAGGTGGCAAATTCTAGACTTTAAACATGGATTCAGTATTATCCAAATAGAATAATTTATCCGTCCCCACCCCCTTAGATAAAATGAGTGAAGTAGAAAAGAGGGAAAGAAGAATATGAGACTATCTTAAAAGTAGATTTAGGTGTTAGAAACAGCTAAAAATTATTTGGAACAATTCAGACTGGTAAATATAGATTTTTAAAAGAAATTGATAAAACGTGTTTTCTTGATTGATCTCTTAAATGCTACTGAAAGTATCGCCAGAATAAGGTTCCTAGAAATTTTGGAGCAATGATGATATTCGTGAGATGATGTCTATCAGTTCTGAAGGTGATTTCATTAAAGGAGATTACCTTACTTGGACCTGCAGGCCCGGGTCAGTTTGTAAATACTCAAAACCCAAACCCATATATTCTCATTCCTTCTCCTGCTCCCTTTCCCTCCTCCTCCTCACACCACACTAACCACATAGACTCTGATTTGTTGCTTTGAGTGGCAGCTGGAGGCAATACTGTGGGACCTCAGAACTTGGCAGAACAAGTGTTTCCCTGCTGGATAAACAGACAAACACATTGAGTTATTCCACCCACTTCTGGTCTGTTGGCAAGTCAGGTAGATGCCCAGGGGAGCTGGCAGACACACGTGGGTGCTTCCCGCTCCACCAGATTCTGTCTAAGGAGCCCAGAGATGGTTCCTCCTCTCTCTCACATGTTTCCCAGCACCCTTTAACTGTCTGTGTTTGTATTTTCATCCACTAGGGGAAGCTGCATGACCCCCAGCTCATGGGGATCATCCCAAGAATTGCCCATGATATCTTTGACCATATCTACTCCATGGATGAGAACCTGGAGTTTCACATAAAGGTACGTATTACTGATTGGTCTCCAGAGAATACACTGGGCCCCAGTAAAGTTTCTTATCCCTCCTCCTTTCAAGTAGATATAAAAGATGATCTTACTAATTTAAATGGCATTCTGTGGTAAGCAGAGCCCTCTTTATTAGTGGCCTAGGCTAACAGTTATCTGGTGGGTTTGCTTAAAATATTCAGATAATGAAAGTGAAAGCCTTCTTTAGGATGAAATCATCTTAATAGTTGCCTGAATTCTACCGTTTATCCTCTGGATTTCTGTGGATATGACTGAAAGTGTTTGTGTTCGGGTTTGGGCAGCATTTCCCAACATGTGTTCTGTGGAACACGGTCCCTTGTATTATTAATGGTTGGCTAGCAGGAAAAGGGTTATAAGGCCGAACGAGCTGGGAAAATGCTTTCTTGAACAATGTTAAGTTTATCACAAGTTTTAATGTGCTCTGTAAAGGGGACATGTACTAGATTACATTTCCCTGCTTATTTGAATATAGACACATTTTCCCCCTTAGAGTGTCACAGACGTGTTTGGAGCAGAGTGTCACAGAGAACTCTGAGAAATGCTGGGAAAAGGAATTCTCCTCCTTTTTATCTTCCTCCTTGTATTTTGGTTTTGTTTTAAACCAGAACCTCTGATACGACTTAAATTTGCATTAAAAAAGGTATTTCTACGCTCTTACTGTGGCTGTTCAATAATAAAATTTGGTATTAGGGTATATTCATTGGAACACCTGTTTTGCAAGTGACCGAAAGGCACTTGCTTAAGCAAATAGAAGATGTTATAACGTAAGAATCTGACAGTGGACATTTTGTGGGGGATGAAGCGTGGAGGGCAGGAAATCTAAGCCCTGATTTTCTTTTTAAACAATTGAGATATTGTTCACATAACACAAAATTCATCCTTTTAAAGTGTGTAGTTTGATGGTTTTTAATGTATTTCCAAAAGTGTACAATGATGAACCTTGTCTAATTCTTGAGGATGTCGTCACCTCCAAAAGAGCCCACACCCGTTACAGTCCCTGCTTTTCTGCCCTCTTGCTTGACTTCTTTCTCTTGTTCTGGAGTATCTTTCTCTCTTTTCGGTGGGAGAAGGTGTTGGTAACATGGCAGCCGCTGCTCCAGCAGCCGCTGCTCCACCATTTCCTTGTTTCCAACTCCAAATTCCCTTGGGAAGGGGCTCATTGGCCCAGCCCACAGCAGGTGCCCCCACTTGCCCAATGAGCTGTGTCCAGGATGCACAGGCCGTCTGGGGCCCCCCACTGTGGAGGGTGAAGGGGCAGTTCTGAGAAGACTTAGCTGAGCAGAACTGCTAAGAGAGTCCCCTTCAGGCTGGGATCTTAGCACACCAGGCCCATCTGTTCAGAGATGAGGAAAGGGAAGTTTAAAGATGCAGGGTTAGGCTGATCGTGGTGGCTCACACCTGTAATCCCATCACTTTGGGAAGCTGAAGTGGGTGGATCACCTGAGACCAGGAGTTTGAGACCAGCCTGCCCAACATGGTGAAACCTTGTCTCAACTAAAAAAAAATACAAAAAGAATACCAAAAAAGTTAGCCAGGTATGGTGATGTGTGCCTATAATCCCAGCTACGCCGGAGGGTGAAGCACGAGCATCACTTGAACCTAGGAGGCAGAGGTTGCAGTGAGCCAAGATTATACCACCGCACTCTAGCCTGGGTGACAGAGTGGGAAAAAAAAGACACAGAGTTAGAAGGCCCAACTTAAACACAAAGTTATTGACAAAGCTAAAAATAGACCCTAGGTCTGACCAACTGCACATGCAATCCCTTTTCAATTCTAATAAACTTCTCCCCTTACTAACCACTGCATACCTTTTGTAAATGACAAAAAAGAAGGCAACAACTGTTTGTCCAATTATAAATTACATCTAGCAAATCACTTTTCCTTAGGATTCCTTTTGTTGGCTAAAGCCTGCTTCTCCTTCTTGCCAAGGTTCTTTATATCTAAGGATACAGAAGCTTGTTGCTTTGATGGGATCAAGATTTAGAAGCTTAGTGCTTCTTTAGGGCTGTTTGCATTTAAATAGCTTAAACTACTGCAGGGTTCTTATGTGATAATCCTGGAATAAGATGTTAAACCAATTACTGCCCTCAAAATAGGGTCTTTTGTTAGAATCTTATTAAGATAAAAACAGGCCTAACATGAAGTTGGGGGAGGAGAGGAACAACACTCTAAGTCTCTACGGCTGAATTTAACAGTCCAGACTTCTGTGTTGCATTTGTAGTTATGCTTACTTGTTTCATAAATAATAATTATAAATGGGCAAATTAGTTGCTGACTACTTTGTATTTTGAACTGACTAGTGAGAGGCTAAATCAAGAAAAAGAGGCCTGATCAAGGCAATATTGAAAATCTGCTCCTTAAAATAAGTCCCACAGAGGTTTTCAACTTTATTTCTGAACATCCTGTTTCTTAATGCCAAACAAGGCCTATTTGTTTTTCTTCTGCCTGGTCTCACAAAGTATTTGAAATGACAAAACAACAAAATCATTACCCTCACACATACACACACCAAAAGCAGAAATTAATAAAATCAGAATCCTGTTTCTGTTTACATTAAATGTGAATATGATTCTAATTGCCAGATTTGCCAGTATCTATTTTGTGACCTTTTGTTTTAGATGTAATTAATTTTCTCTGTAGTCAATCTATGGAAATAAGGCCAATTGTTTAAGATCTCAAAAATACTAGAAAAGTCTTAATGAAAATCGGACAATTCTGAAATAAATAGAATGGGCGGAACCAAGGTTGAGTTGGTTGCAGGAAGGGCTGGGTTAGAGATGCCCGGATTGGAGGCTAAACGGACCTGTAAGGATTCAGGGAGCATGGCAGCACGAGAGATTAAAGAAAGCTGTAGGTGTGAGTCTTTCAAATGTCACATAGGTGTGTCCATGAGAGACGGGCCTCAGGGACAGGGGAGTCTGACAGGTGTTCACGCAGGCAGATGTTGCTAGGGATACAGGCAACCAGGAGAGATGCCCAGCTACAAAGATGATCCAGGGCTCAAGCTAGGACCCCACATCTCAGAGTAGCTGGGATAATTCCAGGCTGGGATGGTTCCAGTCAGGCAGTTCCAGACCGAGGTACATTGAAGATAATGGACGAGGGCTGGGTCGGAGCTGGGATTAGTACTGGGTTAGAGTCTTCGCTTCCCCATGACTGGTCCAGAGCCAGGATGTAGGGATGCGGTTTTGCTGAGTAGTCACATTCCAGTTTTACAACTTTACAACTGTTTCCCTTTCTGCCCATTCCCTTGTTTAGATTTCAAAAGCATTTATGAACATAGGCCAGATAAAAGTTTATTGGGTAGGCAGAAGCAGATGTAAACAGAGTACAGAATCCTAGAGGGAGATTTTTTTTTTTTTTTTTTTGAGACGGAGTTTCACTCATGTTACCCAGGCTGGAGTGTAATGGCTCGATCTCGGCTCACTGCAACCTCCGCCTCCTGGGTTGAGGCAATTCTCCTGCCTCAGCCTCCTGAGTAGCTGGGATTACAGGCACGCGCCACCATGCCCAGCTAATTTTTTTTGTATTTTTAGTAGAGACGGGGTTTCACCATGTTGACCAGGATGGTCTCGATCTCTTGACCTCGTGATCCACCCGCCTCGGCCTCCCAAAGTGCTGGGATTACAGGCTTGAGCCACCGCGCCCGGCCTAGAGGGAGATTTTTTACATCGTAAAGCCCTATGGCTTCATGTGACAGATGGGACAGTTGAGGCCTAGGGTCTTGGTTAGGTGTGAATTGAGTCCCTAAGACCACGTATTTAGTTAAAGCAGGTCTCAGACATCAGCCAGCATAAGAATCACCTGCGGAATTGCGAACCAGATTCCCAGGCCTGTTCTCTAGGCTTCAGATTCAGCAGGACTGCAGTAGGGGTCTGGGCTCTGCAGTTCAGACAGGTTCTTAGGTGATGCTGATGAAGGTGGTGCTGTGGCTCAGCCTTGAGACTGATGGGAAGGCCTCCCTTTCCTCTCACGGTCTACCCATCTTTTATCAAGTCACATTTTGTTTAGATCTTTCCTGAATGCACCAGAGCTGCCACCATCACCGGCTCTCACCCAGTTACCTTTCTGAACTCTTGTAGGACCAAACGCACTGGCCCTGCCCTCTCCGGGCTTCTTGCATGTGAACTTTTGGATTAAGTCCCTCCTCCTTCATGATGCTGTCAGTATCGTACAATAAAGTGAGGCCTACTGATGGTTTTCTTAGTTTGCTTGGTGCTCATCTAGGGTAAAGACTAGAGTCCTCCTGTACATGGCTATCTGGCACACAATGTTAAGAACACCTGAATGACAACCAAAGGGAGCCGTGATATGTGGGGGTGGAGAGTGGTCCACACTTAGGGAAGCATAGAGCAAGCAGGAAGCAGGAGAATCCCAGTACAGCTGGCCAGATTCTGAGTCTTCACTTTGAACATCTCTTTTTACTCTTCTTAGCCATGCATGGGAAAAGCTTTCATAAGTACTAATAATGGTATTTTTGAAATATACTGTGGCATGTCTATTCCAAACTCAATTTGTTTTTAACTAGGTTTCCTATTTTGAGATCTACTTGGACAAAATAAGGGACTTACTTGATGGTAAGTAACCTCAGTTCTTGTCCTTTATCTGTTCTGTAACCAATAAAAGTCCAGGGAGGTTGAAATGATTTATCGCACTTCTGCTTAAGGAATTAATGAAAATTTATAGAAGTACTCTATTGCCTTCAGGACATATGTTCATTCTCAGCCAAGGCTTAAACTTGCATATTGCAAAGAGATTAGATTTACCTGTCCTTTGTAACAAACTTCCATTTTTTCTCCAATATGGAGTCTTTAACTTGTCTTTTCTTCTTTGCATACTGTCATTCTCATCTCTTATAGTATCCAAGACCAACTTGGCTGTTCATGAAGATAAAAACAGAGTCCCGTATGTAAAGGTATGAGAAAGACTTGATTGGTGATACAATTAATTTCTTTCCAGTCTCTGTCACAATAATTATTATATAAGATGCTCAGAATATTATCTGTAAAGAGCATATAGGTATTTAATCGGGCTCCTTAAGTTTAATATTCATCTGGTTTTAAAAATTGACATTTGCCATCTTCAATTGTACCTTTCCTTTATGACATTATTATTTAAACATTATTATTTAATATTATTCACATTTAAAGGGGCTTTGGCATTGAGTGCAATTATTTATATTTTGTAGTTGGAAACGCCTATTATAGCATTATTTGTGAAGCTTCAAAGTGTCTATTATCGATGGCCATAATGGTAAATAAATAAAGACAGAAGGCAAAGCAAAACTTCATCCATTTCTTCTTCTCTCATTGATTTTCTTCTTTGATTTTCTGTCTTCTTAAAGTGTTGCTGTTGAGTATTACTATGTGCTCAAAAACCTAGGAAAATTTGACAATTCATTTTTTGGTTTACTTCTAGATTTCCTAGGACTTGCTCAGACTTCTCTTTAATGTAGATTTCAAGCCCTGGGCAAGGAGGAAAAGTTGTTGGATTGATATTTTAGCCTTTCTATTTATCTGCACCTCTAGGAGATAAACTGGAAAATGTTCCAGTCTTTCAAAATATTGTTGCTTTTCAGCTCTTTTAATGGTGAACCTGAACTGATTCTCTTCCAGGGGTGCACTGAGCGGTTTGTGTCGAGCCCCGAGGAAGTCATGGATGTGATAGATGAAGGCAAAGCAAACCGACACGTGGCTGTGACAAGTAAGCATAGTGGTGCCGTTTCCTCCCCTGTAGCTTGGGAGACAGATGTCTGCCCCCCGACCGGGGCCCGGGTGGGGTGGGGGATGAGGTACAAATGAAAGAATGCATGGAAAGGTGGTTAGAGAGCAGTGCTCCGACACAGACACCAGGGTATGTGCGCTCTGAGTGTGTCTAGGCAGTCATAGGAAAGGGTGCCTTCTGCTGTCCACAGGGCTCTGAGGTCTTGGAGATGTTGGGTGAGACTTCCTGGACCCCCATAACGGCCTAAGCCTGCACATTAGGAAAGATAAACAACCAGCCAACCAAAGGGAGGGAAACAGTAAGCTCCTCAGTTTATTTATTTTAATCATGTTATTGTTCAGGTTAATTAAAAAAAATTCTAAACCAACAAATTTTTTAATACATTGCAGTCACACACGTGGAAAGAAGCCATGTTAGATTTCTGCCCTCCGTAAAAAAGAAAAAGAAAGGCAAGAAGGAAGTCAGAGAGCAGAGCCAGGAGCCTTAGGGAAAGCCTTCCGATGTGTTACCAGCAGACACATTCAGATGGCTCATTGGCTCTGCAGTTTCTTCCTCAGTATGTTCATTGCATCTCAGGGAAGCAGTGCATATGGGATTCGGGTAGCAGCGGGTCCGTGAAAAGATGAGTTATCTATCTTACTAACAGGGATGTGGACGAGTGAGAGTGACTTCATATGAACAGAAGCTGATGGAACTAAGGGTTTATAGCTTGCGTGAGGAAAAAAATCTGGAGAAGGGTGTGTGGACAATGTAATAGATCATACCGGGTTGAAGGTGCTGACACTAAGAAAGAGGATCAGCTTGTTCCGTTCCATCTCAATGTTTAGAACACCCAGGATTGTTGGAGTGATAGGGAGGCAGATTTCGACTCCTATGAGAATTCTCCAGCCCTTATAGCTGCCCCAAGTGCAGCCTGTTGCCTAGAGAAGTAGTGAGTTCACTGTTATGTTGTAAAAGAGATTCAGACATTGGTTGACTGACTGGTCTAGTCTCTGTAAGTCTCTTCTACCCAATGCTCGCTGATTCTGCGGTCCAGACCTGTAATTCTCAACATTTTCTCTATCCGAGCACAATGTATCAGATGATATTCATATATATAGCAACTTTCATAGGTGAGCCTAGACTTGGATAGTGTTCAAACTCCTCTTCTTTTTCTCATGCTTAAAACACACACATACGTGAAGGAATGTAAGGCAGATATTCTTATAGTAGTAGCATCTCTCATTTACAAAGAAGTTATTCACTCTGTTTCTGAAGGTATTTTTAGTCACAAATTATTTATGGCATACCTGAAACCCATTTTGGTGCCTTGGTTTGGAACTGCTAGTCTAAAAAAAATTGCTATTATTCTTATCATTCCAGTAAGGTTTTTCTTTTATTACAGTAACAAAATACACATAACATGGAATTTGCCATAACCATTTTAAAGTATGCATTTACATTACATTAAGTGCCTTCACACTGTGTGCAACGTCACCACCCTCCATCTCTAGAACTTTATCTTCTCCAGCCAAAGCTCTGTACTCATTAAACACTAACTCTTTATTCTCCTCTTGCCCAACCTACTTTGTCTCTGTGAATTTGACTGCTCTAGTACCTCATGTAAGCGGAATCATAATGTGTTTACCTTTTGTGACTTGTTTATTTCACTTAGCATAATGTCCTCAGGTTTCATCCATGTTGTAGCAAGCGTCCTTCCTTTTTAAGGCTGAATAATATTCCATTGTATGTATATACAACATTTAAAAAATTCATTTAACTATCAGTGGACACTTGGGTGGCTTCCACATTTTGGCGATTGTGAATAATGCTATTATGAACATAGGTGTGCAAACATTTGGGTTTGATTTGATTTCAATTCCTTTGGGCATATATGCAGAAGTGGAGTTTCTGGATCTTATAGTAATTCTGCTTTCAATTTTTTGAGGAACCACTACTATTTGCTTTTATTACTATTTTCCATAGCAGTGATACCATTTTCTGTTCCTACCAGCAATACACCAGAGTTTCCATTTCTCCACATCCTTGCCATTCTTGTTATTATTATTATTTTTTTATTATAGCCATCCAAATGGTGTGAAGTACTGCTTCATTGTGGTTTTGATTTGCATTTCCCTAATGATTAGAGATGTTGAGCATCTTTTCATGTGCTCATAGGCCATTTGTATATCTTCTTTGAGGAATGTCTATTCAAGGTCTTTATTTTTTAGTCAGGTTAATTTGTTGTTGTTGACTTGTAGGAGTTCTCTATGTATCCTGGACATCAATCCCTTATTAGATATATGATTTATAACATTTTCTTCTGTTCCTTGGAATTGCCTTTTGACCCTATTGTGAGTGTCTTTTGATATATAAAAGTTTTACATTTTGATGATCTAATTTTATTTTGTTGCTTGTGTTTTGGGTGTCATATCCAAGAAATTATTGCCAAGTCCAATGTCATGAAGCTTTTCTCCTATTTTTTTTCTAAGAGTTCTATAGTTTTAGTTTTTATGTGCAGGTATTTGATCCTTTTGGAGTTAATTTTTGCATGTACTCTAAGGTAAGAGCCCAACGTTAATATACTTTTTTCATGTAGATATCCAGTTTTTCCAACACTATTTGTTGAAAAGACTGTTCTTACCCCATTAAATGGTCTTAACACTCTTGTTGAAAATTATTTGATCATATATGTGAGGGCTTATTTCTGGGCCCTATATTCTGTTCCATTAGTTTATATGTCTGTCTTTATGTCAATACCACACTGTTTTGATTGCTGTAGCTTTGTAGTAACTGTTATTTTTCATTTTTCCATAGGTTATTGGTGTACAGGTGGCAATTGGTTTTTCAGTGGTGATTTGTGAGATTCTGGTGCACCTATCACCCGAGCAGTATGCACTGCATATTATTTGTAGTCTTTTATCCAGCACCCCACTTCCACCCTTCTCCTCAAGTCCCCCAAATCCATTATATTGTTGAAGTGTGAGACCTTCAACACTGTTCTTATTTTTCAAGATTGTTTTGGCTATTTGGGGTCCCTTGAGATTTCATATGAATTTTAGGATGGGTTTTTCTACTTCTGCAAAAAATGTCGTTGAAATTTTGATAGAAATTGCACTGAATCTGTAGATTGCTTTGGGTAATACTGCCAGCTTCATGATATTAAGTCTTCTAATCCATTTATTTGTGTCTTCTCTCATATCTTTCAGTGACATTTTGTAGTTTTCAGTGTATAAGTCTTTCTTTTCTTTGGTTAAGTTTATTCCTAAGTATTTTATTCTTTTTTTTTGTCATTACAAATAAGGTTGTTTTCTCTTTTTTTTGGCGGTTGTTCATTTTTAGTATCTAGAAATGCAACTGATTATTTACATGTTGATTTTGTATCGTACACCTTTGCTGAATTCATTTATTAGTTCTGACAGTTTTTTTTTTTTAGATGAATCTTCAGGGCTGTTTACATATAATCTAGTAAGATGGTTTGAGAAATGATTGCTGGTGAAGGCTGAATGGGACGGTTGCTGGGGTCTCTGCTTGGCAGACAAAGATGAGGATTTGCAAAGATTTTTATTTCCAGGACCTCATCCTAATGAAGTGTATTTAATATTTGAGACCTTCTATGCAGTTAGCATAGGGTTATAGAAGTGTATGTTTTAATCCTTCCTTAGGAAAGTCTTAATCCTTCCTTAAGAAAGCTTATGATATTACTGATAAGGCAAGGCTTATACACATGACTAAGATAGAATACATCATGTATTAATCATGATAAAGTCTGAGGGATTTAAAGTGAGGCAGGGGAGGAAGTAGTGAATTCTTCAAGGGGAAAGTCATGCTGGAGTAGGAACTTAGAAGATGGGGCTTCTGGTAGAGCTAGAAAATCTGATACCTTCAACTGTCGACTAAGATATTTAATTTCTTTGCTCCTTGAAGATATTTAAATTTTTTTTTGTTTCTAGAATGAGCATTGTTTTTCAGAAGAAATAGGCTCTCAGATAATTTTTTAAGTTGGCTGGACTTAACTTCAATGAAATGGAGCTATTAGGCATGACTTGTTATGTTTTTTAGATGAGGTTTGTTACCTAAACGTACATGTTCTTTGTAAAGCAGTAAACTATTTTCCTTTTCAGACATGAATGAACACAGCTCTAGAAGTCACAGTATCTTCCTGATAAATATTAAGCAAGAGAATGTAGAGACTGAAAAAAAACTCAGTGGGAAACTTTATTTGGTTGATTTGGCTGGGAGTGAAAAGGTAATTGGTTCTTTATTTGTATTATCTATAATTTCCCCCTTTTATTTGCTTCAGTGTGCAATGGTATAATTTTTATGCCCTTCTATTTTCCTGCTTTAAAGAGTATTTAAAGTTTCTGAGGCTCTGCCAAGGTGTTATTACATGTAACCCTTTTCTGTCCTGAGATCTTCTATTGGTGTCAGGGGCAGGTGCTTTGCCTGCCAACTCTGATATATCCCTGATGGGCCCTGATGATGATGTTAGGCAAGTGTTGATTCGACTTAGCCTGTAGCAGAGGCAGCCGCACACATGTGGGAGGGATATGAACGTCTGAGAAAAGAGAAAATCCCGTGTTGTACCCGACTCTAATAGGCCAGGAACGAGCTTTGCCGTGGGAATGTGGCAGTCCTGCCTCTGCAGGTTTGTTTTGCTGATGGAAGATCTGGAACGTGGGGCTCTCCCTGCATTCCTTAGTTGTCCCAACAGCAGGCCAGGGCTGTCCATGTCCCATGTGGGAGGCCTTGGTTCTCTCAGGCAGTGCAGCCTGTTATCAGCCCTAGCCACAAGCAGTTACTGTTCTCTGGTTTTGTCCGGACTCTCTTTTGTTGTCGATACCCTGACTCATGCCCTCCCAGGCCCTGGCCAGGGCTGTACTCCAGAGCAGTAGGCTTCCCAGAATCTCCAGTCTCACTCCCATTGCACCAGTGGAGGCTTCTGCTGCCACACCCTGGCTGGAGGCACTGACCTCCCTTGAGCAACATCACAGAGCAAGCCCATGTGCACAATGCCCTCTGGCCTCCATCATCACTGACATCATGCTGATTGTCCCCATCAGGGCCAGCCTTGGAGCTTGGTCAGTCTCCCTAACTGTATGATTGATCCCCTCTTAACTGCACTACACCACTGAGTTCCCGTAAGCCGAGTTATGGCCACTAACATTTACGTAAGTAATGGTTTCTTGGATTGTCCTCTAGTATGCATTTGTAAAACTGTGAGTAGAAAGTCATCTGGGTATTCCTAGTTGGGAATCTGAAATTTTACTAGTATGGACTTGTAACTTTAGTTAAACAGACACACAACAGAATGGAAATAATGGAGCATTGTTGTTTATTTAGAGCCCAAATACACCTGAACATTCCTTAATACTCGCAGACCAGAGTGGAGGCCTGCCTCTGCACAGTGTCAGTGGTTATTGCTAATGATATTTATGGGGCGTTTTAAAATCATGCCTTTCACGTAGTTTCTTTTGCTCACATGCACCTGTTTTCCTTTGCCCTAGATGTGTCCCTATGAATGTGTCAGTGTGATCTTGTAGAAGAGAACTCTGGGCTTTAGTTCCCATCTCCCCTGAATGGCGTTCTTCCCTTAGGCTGGCAGTTTGACATTTCTGGGGCTCAGTTTCCTGTCTGTCAAAGGAGGGTGATAGATGGTACCTGCCTTGTCTATTTCGTGGAGTTAACATGCTCCTATGTGAAGGCATCTTAAAATAACACTGTGTGAATAGACTGCTACTATTTGTGACCCAACAGCTACATGATTCCTCTATGTGTAAGCTGAGGTGCCACACAAACAATTCCAAGGGAGTTGAGAATCTATTCTATTTGGAAAGAAACCTCCCCCTGGACCTGAATTCATCTCTGTCATCAGGAGTTTCTCCTTCATATTCAATTGAAATTTGCGTAGTTGAACATTGCTCCCCCACTTCCTTTCTTGAGAGAGCAGCTGCTCCCCGTGCATCATTTGTCCAGTCAGCAGAGACATGAATCATGTTGAGTTCCCCTTTTTTCTAGCATCTGCAAACTGCCCTCTTCCTAGAGCAAATGCTGTCAAGATGAAATTACCAGCAATAACACAGCAGAGGAGGAACTGCGTATGGTCCCTTTGGGTGCGGAGGAAAAAAGACAAATTTACAATGCAATATACATTAGACTTTTCATGTCTATCCCAAGTTTTTTGTTTTTTGGATATTTTTCATTTTTTCCTTGCTGTGGGATAAGTAGGGAAGGAACAGAGTCTGGATAACCAACCCTACCACCTCTAGGCGTCTGGCTGGATTTGGAGCTTGTAACTTACATTTTTTGCAGTATGCCCATTCACTGTGGCTCAGGACAACATTTTCTCTTCATGCTTCCCTCCGGGCTCCCTTCGGCATGGGGACTGCGGCTCGGTCTCCCAGGGCCCGAGCTACCCATGGTGACAGCACTTCTGGAGCCTGGCTTCCCTGGATGGATGTCCCCTGGGGAAGCATCTGCAGCTCCACCACTTGAGGTATTTCAGCTATTCCACTAAAACCTAATTGAGAGGAAAATGACGGCAGTAGACACCAAATCCCCAGCCTCATATGAGAAGGATGGTTTTTTATCACTGTAGGTCTTCTCTGCTCTTATTTTTCCTTGCTTTCCAGGAGGCTGTCCCCCTTTGCCCTTGTGTGAATTGGAAATTTCTACTTTGTGCTTCCGCTGTCCTGTGCTGCTCACTGCTTTTTTTCTCTCTGGTAGGTCAGCAAAACTGGTGCCGAGGGAGCTGTTCTTGACGAAGCTAAAAATATCAATAAGTCTTTGTCTGCTCTTGGAAATGTGATCTCTGCTTTGGCAGAAGGGACAGTAAGTGATCCTGCCCCCATCTATTAAATAATATTATGAGAAACCACCTTTTGGGTCCTCGTAGTCCCTTTGCCACACGCCCCAGAGGGTGGTTTGTTTTACTGTTTGGAAAAGGACAGCAGGAATCCTGGCTGTGGCTGCCTGCTCGCTGGGAGTTCCCGTCCACCAAAAAGTATGAATGGTTATGCTAATTTCCTATGACCTGGATCAAAGAATGGGCATTCTAAACTTTGGCAAGATCCAAAGACCTGGCCACAAATTCTTGTTTTACTTAGTTCCTAAGCTCAGTGTCTTCATCCCTGACTTGCTTGCTTCTGTGTTTTTCTTAGAATGGGCTGCCAAAACTGATATGTTTTCTTTTCCTAAATAGAAAACACACGTGCCATACCGGGACAGCAAGATGACTCGGATTCTCCAGGACTCTTTGGGTGGGAACTGCAGAACCACCATTGTCATTTGCTGTTCTCCTTCTGTTTTCAATGAAGCTGAGACCAAGTCCACGCTGATGTTTGGACAGAGGTACGTGTGGTCTCTTAGGACCCGTCCTCTGTGCTAGGTCTTAGGTCTTAAGAGTGAGTGGCAAGGCGGGGCACAGTGGCTCATGCCCGCAATCCCAGCACTTTAGGAAGCCAAGGTGGGTGGATTGCCTGAGGTCAGGTGTTCAAGACTAGCCTGGCCAACATGGTGAAACCCTGTCTCTACTAAAAATACAAAAATTAGCTGGGCATGGTGGCATGTGCCTGTAGTCCCAGCTACTCAGGAGGCTGAGGCAAGAGAATTGCCTGAACCCGGGAAGCAGAGGTTGCAGTGAGCCAAGATCATACCACTGCAATCTATCCTGGGCGACAGAGAGAGACTCTGTCTCAAAAAAAAAAAAAAAAAAAAAAAAATGAGTGGCAAGGGGCTATTGGCAGAGAATCATAAAGTAAGGGACAAGCAGCCTTTTACTAAATTACATCTAGCAGGTGATTTGTAAACTTGAGGCATCACTTACTGAGGCCAAAGCAATAATTATGTTTTAAAATAATGGACAAGAACATGCCAGCTTTTCAAAGGTACGGTATATAAAACAAAACAAAACAAAACAACGAAACTTATTGCAGATGTGACCTGGAAATGCACTGGGTGTTACTTTTGTTCTTCATGGCACTGGAGTCTACCTTTTAGGTTCATTATTATTTCAAGTGTATAAATCTCAAGACTGGTAACTGCCTTTAACTCCGATATTTGGGATCCTTTGCACAGTTGCTGATAAAACACCCAGAGGCTAAGGTGAATACAGAATAGAGGTATAAATAGAAAAGAAGGGGAAGGAATCTTTATCAGCACTGGAGGTAGGAGGGCTGGACTGTATGCTGAGGAGAGACATAGAAGACATCTTCCTACCTTTGAAAATACCCACACGAGATGTCCTAGATCCCCAGGAGATGTCCATAGGTGGGCAGCAAGTACAACTCCATAATCACAAAGCAACAGTTACATGTGTGGTTTGGTTCATATCTTCCTTTATTTTCTTGTCACTTTCTTTTTCACCCACCCCTTCCCACTGTCCAAGGCCTGACCTCCTTTAGGCATGTTTCCTCAGTTCCAGTGTTTAGGTTCTATCCTTCAGCCCTTGTGCCTCAGTGTTCATTTCTAGAGTGTTTGAGGTACTGTGGTTTGGGCGATCTGAACATCTTCAGTGCTCAGCAAGCTGAGCTTAGGTCTGAGGTTGGAAAATGTGGATTCTGCTGCCATCCGTCCATTCAATTCCGAAGAATCACGTGATCTTTAGACAAGTCACCAGTGCTCTGTGTGCTTTAACTAGTTCATTTGTAAATGGAGGCACAGAGCACTTCCCTGCCTTCTCCCTGGGAGTGTGTGTTGTGTGGTTATGCCTAAGGAATAGTTTAAGATGAGAGAAAGGACAGATGGGGGTGGGCATTCTGTCTGGGAAATTGTTATGGCTTGTTTAAACTGAATTAAGCCCCAGTCATTTCCTGAGCCCTCAACAGAACATAGAATTACATAGTCGTGGCACCTGTGGGATGTCTAAATAAATAATAATTATATTGAAATGTTGTAGAGCTAATATATCTTTTAAACTGGATTTGGGTCCTTTGCTTCCTCCCAAATCACTTCCTTGATTAGTTAAATGCTTAGGCCAAGGGGGTTGCAGTAGGATAACACCTACTTTGCTCAAGGGACTCAGGAACCCACAAACCAGCATCTGCTTATGGAAAACGAGATCACATCCTGTCCAGTGTCTTAAACTTGAGCGTTAACAATTTCCTCTGAAGACATGTTTGAGCAAACCAGCTCTAAGTGCATTCATAAAGGAAACATCTCTTCAGAAAAGATCCTTACCAGCAAAGCAAAAATATTCTGGCCCTTTTCAAGCCAGAGTCACTGGCTCTCTTTGCAAGGCTGAGCACCTTAAGGCGCTACTGTCATCAGGAGGCATTTGCAGCTGTCTACGGGAAGGATTTTGAATATCAGTTAGTGTCTCATATATGTCAGGTGTGCCAAAATTATCATAGCAATTCTGATAGCAATTATCTCATCCTCGTATAGAGTATGAAATCAAGGCTTAGGGGTAAAGCCCTTGGCTACCATACCTGAGACCACACAGCCGGTAAGTGACTACATATCTAGGGTGTCCTAGGGTGCAGCGTCTGAGCACAACCCTCTGGGTCAGTACACCCAGCATGGAAGCTAATTCTGCAATTGACCCATTCTCTTGTCTACCTCTCCTCTCTGAGCCTCAGTTTTCCCACCCATAGAGAGAGATATAATAATGCCTACTTTCAAGAATATTGGGAGGATTATATGAGTTGCTTCAGTTTTTACCGAGCTCAAGGGCTGGCATGTAGCAGGCTATCAGTGATTGCAAGTTCCGCTTTTCCTTCATCTTAAATAATCTCACAGTATTCAGGCTTGAAAAGGCCATCGTGGTGGATGGGACTAGACTGAATGTAATGCACTGTAAGGGACAGCACTGTCATGTAAGGGGGAGGATTAAATAAAGCAGAATTGGAATTACACTTTGGGAATGAACAAATAAAAAATACTGCAGATAATTTGGGCTTCCAGGAAATAAAAAGTAATGCAAATTATATTTTCAAATGAAATAAGTTGGCCTACATTCTTTTATGAGAGTCATTTAGATTCTGCTCTCTGTGACAGCAGGGACCGAGTTTGTCACAGGCATTAGTTTCTCATCATCCACTCTGCACACCTAGTTCACAGTAGGTGGTCAATAAATAAATGTTTATCAAATGAATGAACAGATGAATCTAAAGCTTATTGCATAAAATTACTTGGAAAATTAAGGCAGTTGCTGAACTTTGATGCCATTACATCCTGAAGCTGGCTGCGTTTGGATCTGGTTTGCTTTCCAGTCTATTATTGGAAATGTGTGAGGTTTTGTTTCTTTCCTTTTATCCCCGAGTTAGTTAATGGATTATTTAAGGATGCTGAACTATTCTACAGGGCCAATACCTGTTGTATTGTTAAATACACTCATTGAACCCAATTATATAGCAGACACAAGACTGAACATCGGATTAGACATGGTATGTGATAGCTAATGAGATTAAGCACTTTGAACTCAGAAAAGACTGCTGGGCACATCGCAAATTCATTGTAATGAGTGTTCATTATATTCTTATTACAGAGGTGGCAAAACCTTAGGGCAGCATGAGGTTCTTCAGTTATTCCTTTGTGGTTCTTTCAAGGACATGAAGAGAGTACATGTTTGTTGTTCTGCTTGACTGCACTGAATAATGCAATGTGTAGTATGTTGGTTTTTTTTTTGTTGTTGTTGTTGAGACAGAGTTTCCCTCTATCAGCCAGGCTGGAGTGCAATGGCCTAATCTTGGCTCACTGCAACCTCCTTTTCCGGGGTTCAAGCAATTCTCCTGCCTCAGCATCCTGAGTAGCTGAGATTACAGGTGTGTGCCACCATGCCTAGCTAATTTTTGTATTTTTAGTAGAGATGGGGTTTCACCGTGTTGGCCAGGCTGGTCTGGAACTCCTGACCTTGTGAGCTGCCCGCCTTGGCCTCCCAAAGTGCTGGGATTACAGGCATGAGCCACCACACCCAGCCTGTAGTACGGGTTTTGAAGCAGTTAATCTGCAGATACCTGAAGGCATCTACCAACAGTCCTGTTAGCATTCTTCAGAACTCAAGGTTAGATACTAGAATTTAAAGGGAAAAATTTACCATGTTTATTTCTTGGATTGATACATTCTAGCTCTTCCATTCAGTTGGGCTTGTTTTCTTTAGTCCCCTGAATGCCCAGCATCATGCCATTAAAGAAGTAAGAGCCATCTCCCATGCTCTCAAAGACCTTTTAATCTAGTTGAGGAGGCAGCACTTGAATTCCCAGGCAATGGAAAGTCAAAAAGCAGAGTCAAATAAGAGCACTTTTATTTTTTTTTCCTCTGGCTTCCAGAATTCTACTTTGTAGTCTTTAATTACCCTTCCAAACTACTTTTACAGCACTATTTGAAAAAGATATTTATGTTTTAGAAGTGTGAACTCAAATCATCCAATTGTGTTAGAAGCCTATTTAATGTACTGTGATTTAGTGTGGTAATAAAGGGAAAGAGGCCCTCTGAGGGGCAGACCAATGTGGTTAGGAAGGTCTGCATCAGCACATCTTTGGCACCAGGAGTTTGATTGATCCAGCATGAATAATTTGAAGCCTTTATTTGTATGTTGAATGTGGAAGGAGAATTGATATCTTAAGGAAAGTAATATTCTTTCTTCTTTTCCTGATGTGCACTTAAAAAAGTCATGTCACCATTTTAATTGTGTCGTCTGCCAGCTCAGTAGCAGCTAGATTAGGCAGACCCTGAATAGTGTGCATATGAAATTTATGTCACCAGACCATGAGAACACGTTACCTACGAGAGTAGATTGAGCATTTTGGCCAAGGCAGACATTTGGCTACAGTTTGACATAAAACAAAAAGAGGCTTAAATCGTTCCTCTTGGGGGGTCTGTTGCTGAAACATCACCAGGGTTAATTTTTGCCCTTGGAGGGGAGAAATACTGTGGGTGACATACATTTATCTAGATGCCAACTCCTCATATTTGTCATTTCTGAATGGTTCTCAGGAGACCAGAACTTAAAATTAAAGACACAAAATTTTAATTTCTCCTTCCTGTCCTCTTTCTTTCCCTCACAAGCAGGGAAATGGCCTCACCAGGAGCTGGGAAGGTGCTTTGGAGCAGTGGTCCTTCCAGAAGAAGGTTTGGGTGTTTTCGATGGGAACTAGGACTCAGAGCAGATCAGAAGATTAGCTTCTGATTAACTTTACGTGTCAACTTGGCTAGGCCATAGCGCCCAGTTACAAATCAAATGGAAATTGAGACATTGCTGTGAAGGTACTTTTTAGATGTACTTAGCGCTTATAATAAGTTGACTTTAAGTAAAGCAGATTACCCTCGATAATGAGGGCAAGTATCATCCTCTCAGTTAAAGGCCGTAAGAGCTAAAACAGAGGTTTCTCAGAGAAGATAAAATTCTGCTT